TTTTGCGCTATTTATGTCCTTTTACATATTTCTATGCCCATCATCGATGTATGGGCCTTCATCGACATGGAAAGAAGTGGTGCGCAGTGGGAAGTCCGCGCGCTTTGTTTCGCTCAGAGGATGGGAATCGAGGCAACATGGAATTTCACTCATTAAAGATAAAGGATAAAGCATTTGCCGTTGATCAATCCCTTTTTGGGATGCGGCACGCATTCTACTTCCATTTGTACATTCGTAGTGGCGTTTGAATGCGATGTGGCCTATACAATGACTTGCGGGGGCCAGCCGATGTACAAGTCAGTGTTTTTATCCTCCCAGACAAGTCTGGTACCAATTAACCGACCCCGGAGGGATGGAAGGCTTGGTTGGCCCGGGCGACTCACGACCCAGGATTTGATCCCCGGACCGCTCGCGTGGTAAGCGTGCCACTTGCCACTACACCACTTCCGCCCTTTCACTTTCGCCGTTGTATGTATAGTTGTTGGATTTCACTCATTAAATAGGAGTGATTTCCAATTTTTCTCATGATATAGGCATGGTTGTGATCGCAGAGACTTCTACTTTCAGAAAACTACCAAGTTTTTTTTTCGAACTTCCAAATCACCCTTTTTTATAAACTCAAAAACGAAACCTTGCAGTAATCACGTTACGATACGAGTCTCTTCGTTTGAAAGGTTATATCTTTCTTCAGAAGCGACCTCATGGAACGGGATACAAAATTTCAAAAACTTCAAATTGTTTTCTTTCCAAAAAGTATTTGAAATGTTGCGGATGTTCAATATTTCAAAAAATCGTCCCGTTGTTCCGTTTTTTGTGCACACGCGAGTTTTCGACATTCAAACATTCATAACTTTCTTCATAATCAACTTTTTGCAGATGTTCAAGGCTAATTAGAAACTAGAAGATTAGCGCTTTCGAATAAGTGCTAAAACTTTTCAAAAATCACTCTTTCAAAAAATAGTCCCGTTGTTCCGTTTTTTCCCTTGATTTTTTCAAGCCATTTTCCTGGAACGCGACTTTGCAATCTTCAAACGTCCATAATTTCCTTCAAAATTCATATAATGAGAAGCGGTAAAAAGTATTGAAGTCTACATGAAGAGTGCTTTACAACGTATGCAAAATTTTCCTGAAAAGCTTTCTTCTGCCAGAATTTCTGAGGTGGTCCCTAGAAGTCAATTCAGCAAGTTCTAACTTTCTTCCACTTAGATTTGTTCTGAAGCATCAAGATTCTTTTGAGGAAGTTTGTCTGCTCACGGCCGCTGACAGATAAAGCGTTTTGAAGTGAAAACTCCTGCTCGGGGTACGCCGTGCACCTGTCTGTGGTAGCATTTGAAAGTCCTCCACTCCCCTGGAGACGGTGATAGTATCGCGATTGTAGTTGCGTTGTACTGTTACATGGAATCCTCTTTCTCCATGCATTTCACCGCCGGTCCCTGTGTATACGACCCCGGGTGTGGTTCACTATTCGCAGCGCGAAACATTTTTCGCTGCGGGAACCTCAGGTCCACCTGATCATCAGTGGACCCGAGGTTCCCGCAGCGAAAAATGTTTCGCGCTGCGAAACGCGAAAAAGTCGCTTTCTGTCCTAGTGAACCACACCCTACGACCCCCTCCCCTTTCGTTTGGCCAAATACGACCCCCTCGTTGTTCATTGCGCAACGGGCGGTGGACCCTGCATGGGAGCCCATTTTCATTCCATTACAGTTGTCTATGAGAGTATTACTTTACAGCTGCAGTGCAAATCACCCCTCCACAGTCCACGGGCTATTAATCGTCCCAGTGGAACTACGTGGCACATTCCGGTATTACTAGCGACGCACATGAGCATGACTCATCCGCTCGCTCATCGTTTCACAATCCACGCGCCGCGGCAATCGAACCATCGCCGTTTCTCAATTGGAGTTACTCACCCACCACGGCTGAATCGAGGAGGGCCAGCTGATTCGATTAGGCATCCCACGCTAGTTCTACGCTCTCGTGGTAGTACGGTGAGCACTTTCGAAGGCTGGCCGTCGTCCACTCTGCGCTCAAGCCCTCCCTCATTGACACGTTGCTACAGCTTACTTGTTGCCGAACGTAGATCGTCCCGGAGTTGATATGGCAAAGTTTGAGGGTGGAAGCACGGCCGGTGGGTAATATCCGGACCTGCTCGGCCTATCTGGCCATGCGTAGTGACGATCCATCGCGCTCGCTGACTCCTGTCGAGCCAAGCCTGTTTTCGCCACACCTCCCTTCCCGAGTATCGTCCTTTCGCCTCTCCCGCTTTGCGCTTCTCATTTCCTGTGAATAATTGCTCGCAAGATGAACGGACACCACCCTCTCATCTCATTTTTCTCTCTGAGTGTGAGTCAAAGCAGCTCCGTTCGAGTGATAGTCGTTTGCCTCGGATCAATGTCAGATCATACGTTTATAGTTGTTTCTGGTTTTTGTTGAAATCGCTTACCTATGCATTCAATGTTGTTTTAACTTAAAATGTGGTCCTTTCTTTATTCTTCCGTCTGTTATATGTTGAATTCCTGAGATAGAAACAAATATTTCCACTCCTCTGAATACGGGTGCTATCGCAAGATACGGGGGCATTGCATTGGCAACGCACCTAAGACACATCTCCTTTTCATCACAAATGCGGATAAGCCATCCTCTTTCCTTTCAAAAGGGCTCCAGGTTGCGGAGCAAGTTTCTTCCCTTGTTCCTGCCCTCTCCTAGGCTTAGTCCTAGGGCCGTATTCTTCCCCAGGGAAGTTGACAAAAACCCTTGAATTTGTTTGTTTTCATCGACATAGCTTGCAGCATATGCTTATTTTATATACACATCCATACATTAATATTTGAGCTTTCCTTTTTGCGATTCTGCTCTGAAAGACAAGGAAAATAAAAGGAGTTTCGGCCCCCTTCCCTGGGAGAAGAATATCATGCGCTCCTAGAGGATGCCCCGTATCTTGCGATAACGCCTGAATACCTTTTTACAATGGATTTTCGGGTCTATTCCAGGAAGGGAGGAGGCATCATGATGCAGTTTTTCCAAAAAGCTTTGGCAACTCACGCTAAGGGAAGTGTGGCGCCATCTATGGGGTTGGGGGGTGAGGGTAGTCACTTGACATGCGTGAAAAGCTGGAATTTTAAAGTATCACACTAGTTCGCCGAAATGCTTCATCCCGCCCCCCCCCCCCTGGAATAGATCCTGATTTTGTTCATCTGCCGTAGTTCCTTCGATCACAACCTTTACTTTCCTCGCTTTCTCCGATCACAACAACTCTGAAGTGGGTTGTTGCTTCTATGCTTGGACCGTTTCTTTCTGGATGTCGAATATCACGCGAGTTTATACCTCAAAATGTTTTTCGAAGTGGTTAGCTTCGATCTCTTTTACGATGGATGACACTGAGGTGTCAGTAGCAGAAAGAATAAAGCCGAAGATAGACTTTTTTGGAGAATGACGCATATTCCGTAATAACTTTTTTGAAAAGCCACTTCTTGTAAATGTATTTTGGCGCCAGCTATTAGTAGTCGTTCCATTAGCAATATGGCCAACATCTCTGTTTTCCACTGTTCTGAAAAGCAAAAGAGAACATCCCTCAATTAGCATTATGTCGTGGCCGTTCGTAGAATAAAATGCTGCCGGGCGTACTGAAAGAGATTATCGAGAATTAGACGCGTTGTTTCAGCAGCTTGAGGCAGAAGAAAACTTCGACGGCAAACTGTCGCCCAGCTCCAGCGAAATACACGTATCGCTCGTTTCACCGCCATGTCACGGGTTCCCGTCAGACTAAATGTTTATGACATGGCAAGTTTTCTTTGTTTTTTTTTTTCGCGTCCTTTTTCGTATCGTTTTAGTGGTAATTTTTTCCGTTCAACATAGCACATTTTCTCGGTTAGATAGATATTGGAGGTAACGGTGAGTGTGAGAGGTGACAATAGTTTTGTTATTGGGATCGGAAGATGTGCACTCATCAATTGTTTCACAGGCTGTCGCGTGACATCATTTAGAAGAGTGCATATGAAATGTTTAATGTACACTCTTAATTTTGCCAGGCTGTTCGCATTCTGCATATTTGTGGGTTCCCGCTCCATCGCTGTTCTATTATCGTTGTTCCCATTGTTAGCTCGAAAGGTCAGCGTAGTCAGAGAATTGATCGCTCCGTACTGTATCTTGACTTTGTTCGGTTTTTAAGTACGGTAGGCAAGCGGCGTACTAAGGGTGGTTTTGATGGATGGTGAGGCTGAACCATCGCACGACCGGTCGCCCTACCGGATGATTTTTTGTCTGCGACTAAACAAACATATCGGGCCGGTTTGGCGACGAGAAACGGCTCGCAAGCGAGCGTCGTACTACGCTTAAGATTTCGGCCCCGCTTAAAGCGAGTCCTCTTAACCTACATGACGTAAATCATATTTCATTGTTCACCATAGCTTTGATGCCATTGCATCGAAACTTATGGGATTACTGAATGAGCGTTTGGATTGCGTCTGGATGAACGAGGGATTCCCTTTTTGTGCGTATCTTTGGAACCAGTTGCCACATCAATCGAAAACTCAATTCATGAATAATTTTGAACACATATCGGATTATGTCACACATGTCATAAGAATTATATGTATAGGAGAAGCAACTTTGATAAACATGTTTCTATTTGACATGGGAAAACAAAAACAAGGAAATCAGCGCATGGCTGTGACCACATTTTGAAGTACATGAGGGATGAGTTAGCGAGAAACTTAGTACAGAAAGACAAATGCATTTTCTGAGGAACATCTTTTGCAGCAGATGGTCGCTTATACATCATGTGACAGGAGGGAAGACTCTGTGCAGAGATCCCATATTTCACAGTATAACTATGTGAGGCTTTTGCTCCTGGTCGGCTCGCTTAGAACCGTACAGCGGCGACACTTTACCACTCCGAGATCATTGACCCACCGAATTCGCTCGATAAAATCGAGAATCCGAGCTCTCATCGTCAGGTGAGCTGCTGTCGAACTGTATTTTCGGATATCTTTCAGGGTAGCTACAATGTAGTGGTATCACATAAAACTGATCAAGAGTAAGCGATCCTTGAATTACCACACGCCATTATAAGGTGTCAGACTCGGCATTGTGCAATCGGAGCAGCGAGTAGCAGCGCCGTTGTGATGAAACTTATCACACGTAAGCATAATATAATTCGGGTAGTTTTGAATAGTTTTCACGATTCATAACGCCTAAATATTCCTATAGTTCCTACAATTCCTACAGGACATGATAATTCTGTTTGGGTAGGTTTCCTTGTTGAGTGGAAAAAAACCTTGCACGGATCATTTCCTTACAATCTTTTAACCTTACAAATAGAAGTTCTAAATTCCGAGACGGGTATTACCCATTCATTTCTGGGTGTTAACTTCTCTTGGGCAGATCTTCAGCAAAAAGCCATAGCGCGAATTCGCGTCTCAACTTAGTTCGGATTTTCGCGCGCACGGTGTTGTATGTTCTGCGTAGAGTACGCAACGCATGCATCTGCAAGCGAAATGTTGCAGACGGGTACTTTAGCCGGGACTGCAATTATGTGAGAGTCGCTTCGCGCATTTATTGGATAGCTTTTACTTAATCACGCTGCCTTGGCAAGGCCTTCCTTATTACAATCAGCAAAGGGCTAGCATCACAATTCGGTATCGAGCAATATCATTTGAATCACGAACATTTTAAATTAGCACCTTTGGGACAGCGAAACGTAAACTAAACAGGCTGTGATAAAAGAGTTTTTTCAAGTGGATCATTTAAGAAAAGGAGAGTTTTGTCTATACAAATCTCAGGTGAACCCATCAATCCTCAAGGTTCTCAGAAACCTAAAAACTTAATCTTCTAGGAGATTCAGTAGTTCTCTAGTTTGGCTAATTTTCACGGAATATCTTTTCAAGGCTTCACAAATTGTGTTTATGGGAGTGCTCGAATCCTATAGGTTTCTGTTTTTGATGACACGGAAACTTTTTTTTACAAGGTTTTTAACACCTTGACGACAACTGTAAGTTTTGGCTTTCTGGCCACATGGGACCGGGCGCGATTTTTGCGGGCGTCGCCGCTCCAGTCGTTCAAACAGATTCTGAGTGATAAACTACATAAATACATGATCAATACAAAACCAGATCATAAATTGTAATGAGCACAACCTACTCAGGGGTACAGTAGTGGAATTTTGATCGAAAGACATGGAATAACAATGAAAAAGCTAAACTTGTCAGAACTAGATGCAGTGGGACCTCAAATGTAATTTTACGTTGATACTTTCAATCAAAAAACACACATGTTGTTATCCCTAAGACCGACGTCATAGTCGGCGACGGACCAAGCGATGGAGCGATTGCGCAATCGCTTGCCAATCGCTCGACCGAGAGCGATTGGCAAGCGAGCGTCAAGCGACGCTCGGTCCGTCGCCGACTATGACGTCGGTCTAAGGTTCCGTATCTACTTCTACTTCTATTTAAATCTTCGAATTCATAAAAAGAAAAGTAATCGAAAACTTTATTTGAAAGATTTCGTATTTTTCAAAAATCCTCCCGTAAATTAAGGCATAATTGACCATTTTATGAGCCACTTTGTTTGTAGCTACGTCAAAGTCTCTTCCATGGAGTAAAGAACCTCTAAAAGAGTCAGGCATGTCCGAAAAAAGTGAGTGTAATGATATGATTCCGACATGGCCTGCGATGCGCAGGTTATATGTCCTCCTCGCGTGGTCCGTCAATGGTGTTAATTGATTTGGAGTTTGTTAACCTCGTAGGTCCGCAAAGGTTCAATAGGTCTATTCTTATCGTGACCTGCGAAAATGCTTTCAAGGAAGTCAAAAAAAATATTCCAAAAATTTCCAAAAATATGAATACCATTCTGAACACGGTTGCATTTGGACAACGTGAGCAGATAATGGAATATCCCTGAAACTGGAGAACTATTGATAAAGAATGTTTCGCAAATTACAAAGGATGTTTGCTCATTATGGCCTGTATTAGTCTTGGATGATGAACTAGTTGCTCAAATTTTTGTTTTTCAGTTTTTTTTTCATCGCCAGTCTCATACTAACTTTCGCTTAATGCGTCGTAATATGCTTTGTTCGATTTTCAGTGTTAGATCTTCATATTGTACAATGGCATCTTTAGTTGCGAAGGTGTCACTAATCTATTACTTTTGAGATTTGAAGGTAATAGCTTAGTGGCGCCTTCACTTTATGGAAGCTCTCATTCTCTGGGCTCAGTATGTTGGTGGGAAACTCAGCAGTTAGCGCAGCCAATCTAAGAAATCATCCAGAAATACACCGCGGTGCACAATAGATTGTACCCCATAGAAAACTTAATTTTCTTGAGAGCCCGAAACTTTTGTTGCTTCTGCCTACACTATATTTAGAAAAATAGACGAAGGAATAATATCTGTGATATTTATTTGTCATTACGACTTTGTCAAAGTTCGTGACAACAATTTTTCACTTTTTGAGCCGGTGCATAATAGATTGGACGATATGTATTGTGGATCAAAAAACAAGACGTAAAGTCTGCTCCTCCCATCTAAGTATGAGCAAAGGGTCCTTTCTTCTCTGTGAGCTTAGGGCTGGAATCAGATTTTAAATCAGCGCATTCTAAGCAGCAGAGGCGGTAGAGTTTTCCACTCCTTTGTAATGCCTTTTCTTAGCGGTTGAACATTGTCATACGCTGTCCCATTTCAGTAGATCTTACGCATCAGTATACCCTATGTATTCCCGATAGGTTTGTATCAGGATTACATGCCGGCGAAGAAAATAATGGGTTGGTATTAGATTGAAAGTGGGACAGAGTGCTTCACGAAGTTAGGTTCGAAGTGTTCTTTTGCCCGAAGATGAAGTGCTTTTTGAAGTCTCAAGAAACGAATGGTACCAACGTGTTGTTGAGGAGTGACTGATAGTTCTGGCTTCTCATTCACAAGAATCAAAATGAATCTCAAGGCTACCATCACTAGAGGACGCCCACCAAACCATTCAGGAGAATGCACAGATGTTGCTTCGAGCACCAGTACTGGTTCACTTCTGCAAGAGCGCCAGTTCGAGTGCCGTTAACACTACTCACCTCCGCCGAACAAAATGTCATCGAAAGAAATTACCGTAGGAAAAATAGAAATGAGAAATTTAAATTTAACATAAAGCTGGAAATATGCCCAGAACACTCCGCTGCCCAATCTCTGCAATCCTCATCCCTCGCAAGAGGGAGCCGCTTATGTCGATGGTATTGAGTCAGGCGTAGTGTTGGCTTTATTTATTGTCGAACTATGTGGTCCGATATTTTCAACATACGAGACACGGTCCATTTCGAAACGACAATCCCGCAAGCGACAGCCAATTCATAGGCAATCCTTTGTGGAACTCAATGCCAAATTAATCAAGCAGCGCCTGCCGCACTCGGGAACAGTTGACTTCCAAACCATCTTGTTCTCAAGAACAGTTTAAGAATGATTCTTGATCACAGTTGCAACTGCATTCCTAGGAATGGAGGGTTCTTTAGAGATTTGGAGACTTCCCTTGCCAAGAAGAAGTAACGCTTCAGTGCGAATCCAGGCTTCGTTTGTGAAACGCGTATACTTCACATAATACGTGAGTACATGCGAACTTAAAAAGCAGGAAAAAGGTCGTTGGAAAAATTGAATATCTCAAGTCGTCCAATCTATTGTGCACCGCCAAAAAAATCAATATTTCACTCTAAAAATTTTCAAAGACACTGTATCTAACTGAATATTGTGTCAACATTATTATCTACTTCGTATAGCATACATTGAATATGGAATAAGTCAAATCGTCCAATCTATTGTGCACCGCCAAAAAAATCAATATTTCACTCTAAAAATTTTCAAAGACAGTGTGTATCTAACTGAATATTGTGTCAACATTATTTATCTACTTCCCCAGGAAACATATCAACAGCAGAATCAATAAAAGTTTCGGCCTCTCTCAAAAACTAAGTTTTTTATAGGGTGCAATCTATTATGCACCGGGGTGTAGTATATACTTCATTCCTTTTATTCGGTAGCTTACGAACGTGCTTTAGAGGAGAGGAGAATTTGCGTTCATGAGAACCAAACTATCCGAAAAAAAAAAACAACTAATAAAGCTGTTACTCGGACTCGCGCCACGAAACTATCTCCAAAATCGCTGTGAGAACGCTTCCACTTGGTACTCGGAACTGTGTCATTAAGAAATCTTTCTGACCTTCTCACCTTTGACAATAGCAATCAACTCTTCCAATTTATCGACCATGTTGTCTGTACTCTCTTCGTATGCCTAATGTAAATTCCTCACATGCGTCGCCTAATGTGTGGCCGTTCCACCACGTACATCGTTCTATCGGCAGCAGTCCCACCAGGGGCTGCGGAAAAGTTGTTTCAATGTTTTGTTTCTTTCTGAAACCTCAATCAATCAAAGCACGAGGTTTTGTACACTGCCCACAATTCAAATGTCGCCTATATGGTAAAAGGAAGTGAAGATCTGCTCGAGTTTTTAAGGAAAGCTACATCTTTGGCGCTAATTATGAAGCACGGTGTGGCAGGTGTGAAGTAGAGAATAAAGGGCCATCTTGATTGACGACAGGAAACGCTGGGGCTCTCACGTACTTATAGATCAAGAAAGTTGTTAAACTTCGGGACCCGCGGTCGCTAACAAATCGCGGTGACCGAACTGTCGTGCGATGCGCCAGCGACTGCAGGGGCCGAGTGCAGCAAGCCCTGGCCGGGGATGGGTCCTCTCACCCGCGTCGGGGATCGACGTTGTGGGACGTATTACCAACCTGGGGATTACATCTCCAACCTCATATGGACATATTCTCAACTTCCGGGACATATCCCGGCGCGGATGAAGGAACCCATCCCCCCAGGGGCTAGCCTGGCACACGGTTTGCAGGACTTCATGCATCATTCGATAGCGTTGAACCGCAAATTGTCATCCATTTGAGTGGTATCACGTTAAGGATCATTTTAGGAAAATCTTAAGATAATTGGGATCACTTACCCATGATGTATGCTCCAGTCCAGATGATTAGTTTAGTCTTGGGTGTGTGTCTGTGTGTGAGGGTGTGAAGGGGGGGGGGGGGGGGAGGGGGAGGGAGGTATGTTTGTGACCCCCCCCTTTGTAATGGAAGAAAGTTTCGCATTGCCTAGGGTCGTGAGGAACCATTTTAAGGAAATGCCTTATAATATTGGGATCACTTACCCATGATGTATGCTCCAGTCCAGATGATTAGTTTAGTCTTGGGTGTGTACTGTATGTGAGGGTGTGAGGGGGGGGGGGGGAGGGGGAGGGAGGTATGTTTGTGACCCTCCCTTGTAATGGAAGAGCGTGGTCTATTGGACTTAAAATTTCCACGCAGCTGAACCTTCATGCTAATCGTAAGGCACGTTCTTGTTTCGCATTGCCTAGGGTCGTTACTGTACTACAGGTAACGGCAAAAGCCTCTCAAATTTCGATATTTCCCAATTTTTTTGACACTTAATTATTTGGGTTCCCGTCTTTGTAATTCTGAAGGTCAGCTACCTGAATTGAGAGTTTTTAATGTTAGTATCACTTCACCGCATTTCTATTTTGACGATTATTTTTTCAGTATTGGCTGAACGACTATGCGTCGAACATAGGTTTTGGAATATTTCATTCTGGAATTGAAGTTTATGGAGTTGGTGAGTGTTTGTTAAGTCTCTCTTCTAAATGATTGTAACTCATTTTGTTTACAGAATATGCTTATGGTGGGCATCCTTATGCATTTTCTGGCGTTTTCGAGAATTCGCCACAGGATGCTGAGGAACTAGGAGAAAATTTCAAATTTAGGTAATAATCAGTAGATTCCACATCAGCGTCAATTCGGAAATTTTATGTCCCTCGACATGTGCACATCCCATCTTTTGATCCTGGCTTCTTATTTGCAAAGAAGTGTTTGTAATGTAGTAATGTTTTAGACAATGTATTGTCATTGGAGAAACTACATACTCGGCTTCTGCCGTTCGGGAACTTATAAAATCTCTCGGGCAAGAATACCGTGGTGACCGCTACCATCTTATTTCAAGAAACTGCAATCACTTTAGTGCTGTGTCTTGCTAAGGTAAATCTGATTTGAGGTTCCCTATCGTCAGTCGGAATAATGTAGTTTAGGCCCTCACTGGGAAACGATATACCAACATGGATCAATCGTTTAGCTAACCTTAGTGGATCGATTCCATTTTTGGAAAGAGTGAGTTTTTTGTAATGAATTTTGAATAACAATTCAAATTGAGTTTTTGTACCCTGTCTTTTGGATTTCAGTGTCTACCACAGGAGTGGTTGACGCCGGTTGCATTACAACAGTCACTCGATGAACAACGCAACGCAGATCGCTCAAAAGCTGCTGGAAACGATACCACAAACGATTATCGATTGATTCTGCTGAGGATGCCTTAGACGCTAAGCTGAATGGTGGGTGTTTTGATGGCTACGAATGTCCAACATTCCTGCAATTCTAACAAGGATGATAAGAGCTAGAAAGGTGTTCGTAGTGCAAATCCCGAATTCCGGGCCACTCTCGACCTTCGGGGAGGGCGAAGTAGTCGAAATATTGTTGGGAACAAGGATAAAAGCCCTAATGAGGGAAATCAGTGGGAAAGTATTTTAGATCAGTTTAGTGAGAATCGCCCAAGGGGCCGTAAGGTATGCTTCCCCGAATGGTTGCGGGGACGAAAGTCCCTTTAAATTTTTTGTTTTGAACGATACTGTTTCTTTATTTTCAATGCATGCTTACTTTAAGCTACACACATATATTAGATGTAGGCCCTTTATCAGGACAATCCCAGTTGGGACTACAGAGAAAATTTAAAGGAACTTTCGTCCCCTAACCCTTCGGGGAAGCATACCTTACGGCCCCAGCTTTTATGAGGAGACAATTAATGAGTTTGATTTGCTTTCTGTTCCATTGTTCTTATTTTCGTGAAACATCCAAAAAGTCATCATTCGTTCATCGGCATTTTAATACGGCTTAATGACATTACTGTCGGTCGAATTCCGCGCAATATTTATTCGCACTCCTACTATGCTACTGGATAACTTTTGTCAATTTGATTAAGAGTGGCATCAATGCCCTATAAGAGATGTGGTAAGAGTTGCAATCTTTTTAAAAGCTCGTAGAAGAAGGATTATTTTTTATAGGTTACTGTGCACAATGCGCCACTATTCTTGTTCAACGAACTGACTTGTTTAAAAAATTCATTAAGGGCAACAATAGTAGCAAATGAATTCTCGGATTTGGTCTACCCACCATACTCCTGACATCGCCTATGACCTAGCCTTTCACTTTCTCTTCATCTCAGCTTGTTCAGAGTTCCCGTAGGTTAGGTTAGGCCAGGGTAACTAGGGTGCGCATCATTACTGGATTAGCCAAAAAAATTCGTGGTCCTCTTCAAAAGTTATTCAAAAACCTCTCATAACAGCGTTACAACGACGAACCTCGAGGAAAAAAACTCACAAAAGGACAAATACGCCCCCTTCCTTCGAAGATTCGTCGACACTTGCTTTATTCTGGAAAACAATAATGAGGATTGTCTCACAAATATGCTTGGTTGTAAACAAATTTTTCGCCCTAGACGGGACTCGAACACGTATTTTGCTTACTGGGCAAATGCTACCAGTTACGCTACCGGGGCACCATTTCATTCTAACTCAGCTGTTTATGGTAGACTTACCATAGCGTCAACACTCAACTCACAGTAAATCCAATCTGGACAGTAACGCGCAAGCTGAAAAGCTTTAGCAGTTGATTTTGACTGCTTCCTGATTGTTAACTGCTGTTGTTGGCGGCGTTTCGCCTTGCGAAGCCACAATAGTTAACAATCAAAAACAATGAAGATTTGTTCGGCAACTACATCCAACTGTGTAACATTCGGAAAATCATCAGTGAATTCGTGAGCATTTAGAAAAAAACGAATGTTCATTCGAAATGCAACTTACTGGAGCTACTACACTCCGTTGCAAAACTATACGACATACCCCAAATTTTGAGTTTCTGAAGTTGCGAGAAACTCTGCACGAAAATGGCTAATGCCATTCGATTCAGCGTGTAAAGAAACCTACAATGAGAATCTTCAAACAGATTTGTCAAATTCCAGAAATCTAGGATCAAAAATTTGAAAAAACGGCCGTTGCAAAATTATACGACATAGCAGAAATTTCGACAATTTTTTTGCTTCACTAAAATTTTTCCAAACTACTCCACAGTCGTAATAGCACTGTATTGTAGGTGAGCAGGCCACGGATTCGCCTTGAGGCGCCTTCACCCTGAGGAGCCTATCTGACATGTTATCTACCAATTTTTGTATGCCTAATCCCAGATACGTGCGTAATTTTTAAGTAGCTTCTTCTGCAATAGATGCATGGAGCTGTGCCAATTCCACCAGGAACAAACAACACGGGTAAGAGTGTCCCATGGGTTTTCCATCGGATTTAGACTTCGCTAACAGGCGGACCATCCCATTGAATCTACATGGTAGGTTTCAAAGCAAGTTGAAGTCGGCTCAGTAACATGTATAACCGCATTGTAGTGTTGAGAAACATGCCGATGATGACGATTCTGCGTAGTAGACGGTAGCCCGTGTTGTCAGAGCACATCATCGTGATCGGTAAATCTGTTGACTTTTCGTACAGATTGCACTTGGGCGAGATGCCAAACGACTTATTTGTTCTTAGGTTTTGCAGGTAGTTCTTCGAGAAAGGAAGTATTTCTCCTAGTCGGCCAGATAGGTGGCATAGTGCAAAGATGATTTGAGCGGAAATTCCGTTTTTTCCCTCTCGAAGATGAGCTTGGTAACGCTGCACAACCTACAGTTGGTATGGCAAGCTAGACGTGGTCTTCATGGTTCAACGGAAGGGACCCCACCGACTAGCAATAAGTGGCTCAATCATCGCGTGCTACCGTCTACTACGCAGAATCGTCATCATCGGCATGTTTCTCAACACTACAATGCGGTTATACATGTTACTGAGCCGACTTCAACTTGCTTTGAAACCTACCATGTAGATTCAATGGGATGGTCCGCCTGTTAGCGAAGTCTAAATCCGATGGAAAACCCATGGGACACTCTTACCCGTGTTGTTTGTTCCTGGTGGAATTGGCACAGCTCCATGCATCTATTGCAGAAGAAGCTACTTAAAAATTACGCACGTATCTGGGATTAGGCATACAAAAATTGGTAGATAACATGTCAGATAGGCTCCTCAGGGTGAAGGCGCCTCAAGGCGAATCCGAGCCTGTTATAGGCTCCTCAGGGTGAAGGCGCCTCAAGGCGAATCCGTGGCCTGCTCACCTACAATACAGTGCTATTACGACTGTGGAGTAGTTTGGAAAAATTTTAGTGAAGCAAAAAAATTGTCGAAATTTCTGCTATGTCGTATAATTTTGCAACGGCCGTTTTTTCAAATTTTTGATCCTAGATTTCTGGAATTTGACAAATCTGTTTGAAGATTCTCATTTGTAGGTTTCTTTACACGCTGAATCGAATGGCATTAGCCATTTTCGTGCAGAGTTTCTCGCAACTTCAGAAACTCAAAATTTGGGGTATGTCGTATAGTTTTGCAACGGAGTGTAGGAAGCACACTTTCCAAATTTTAAATATTCATAAGGGGTTTTCTTCAGAAAAAACCTTAATCAAAAATTGGAATTTCTTTGTCTAAAAGGTATACCTAATTTGAAAGTCAATTAGAAAGGATGCGTAACAACTCTTATTGCTATTCCTATTTTTGTTCTTTGTTATTCCTATGTAACTTTTATCGTGCCTATCAAGATCTTTCCCTAATGTTTTCTCGTTGCAGATTCTCGTGCAACTGTGGTATCTGCCCGTGGATTTGTATGCGGTGACAATTCTTTCAACACTTTCGTCGGGTGCTGATAGTCGTAACGGGTCGCCTCCATCAATACAGCGGATATGGGCCCAAATCAAATCAACCATGGCTGGAGATATTCGACCTTAAACGCAGACGTGATTTCATGCCTCGAATTTCGGATGCAGTGCCAGACTCCAAAATGGTATGTGAATTTTCACCATCCTCTTGTTGTGTTCGGATTATACATGATACCCAGGCTGTTCTCCGGCAGCCGCCGGAACATTCTTTCCCTGTGTAAGCTTCTTCCCCCCCCCCCCATCTCTCCAGCTACCACTGCACACCTTGTGGAATGACCGAGTGTGCTATTTAGGTTGTATCATGTAGTCGTAGACAGTGGTATCACAGTTATCCTATACAGAAAAATTATGCCCTGCGACCCCCCCCCGCCCCTAGTCGTTAGCGCGGTTTATTTTCGATTACTGCTTTCACCCAGTCTTTGCGAAAGACAGCCAAACAAACGCTACACCAGTACACATACCACAACAAAATCGAAACACGCCAGGTTAATATAAAGAAGAAATTCTGTGGGTTTGTCCGGGTTAAATAATGCCTTCGGTGCATATATTTGTACGACATTCGCTAGTAATTCACGCTTCTCTTGTTCCCTTTTGTCAGTATAAGGAAAGCTTGTGAGGCTTGTGTTTAGAGTGCATTTGTCAGTCTTAGCTTACCTTTCACTTCGTCCTTTTCCTAATTTACCCGCGTTTTTTGTAGCGAAGCGTGTTAGCTGCACCCACTGCTCTGGTTGCAGGATCAACCCTGACATTTCCTTGTCAATGCAGAGTCTGTTCACCCACGGAAGATGACGTTCTTCCTCCGTTTCCGCTTTAACGAATCTTTTCAATTTTCATTGAGAAGGGTCGGCTCCGTTTCCGCTTTCTAATAACGACTTGCTCTGAACCGCCTTGAATTTTCTGTAGTACTTCCAAACAACACTACTATACTTGTAAGCGCACTGGTCAGATCAGGATTACAGGTTAAGCGTTACTCTATTTTATGATTTTTCAACTCTGGGTTTCATGATCTTTCATAGGTTTCTTTAAAATTTTTTAGATGAAAATAGAAAATGGTTGTAAGCAGATTGCTTTTTACCTCTCAACGTCATGCTGATTCTCGTTTCTGCACAGCGACACAGTCCTCTTGCTTCCTTTAACTGAGTTCCTTTGTTGCAGGGCACTAAAGTAAAATCTCGACCGCCTGCAGAGTGGGCTATTCTTTTGAAGTTTTCGGGGGAAAAACCTCCCTTGAAATTAGTCTCTTCTTGGCGTTGTGTGTATTCGTATAAACAATCATCCTCTTCTCTCATCATTTCCGACGTCAAGAAGTAGCGACAAAGTGAGGGAGCACGAGTGGGTCTTTGTTTTTCCATGCGAAAGTGCCCATGTACTCTTGTAGGACTACTGTTCGTAAAGATGATATTGTTTCCCATTTAGCCATCATACTGCTTCGACTCGGTTGTCTTTAATCAAGTATTGGTGACCGCAATTCATATTGTAGTCCTTCTAGCTTATCAATGAAGTGAGTAATGCCCC